GTGTGATTACTCATGAGTTTGCCATCAATAATTAAATGGGAAAATCACCTTCACCCCTCTGGCCTTTCCTTGATGCAAAAGGAAGCACTGATGAATTGGGAGGGACTAGAGATATTTGTGGTTTTTTCCCCCCTTCACAGGGATCCTGCGCCTCTATCCCCGTGAATGTGGAGAGGCAACTGTATGGCGTTCACTACTATGTGCAGTTGCAGGCATCTGCCTGGGGACTCGGAACCTATCCCCTGTGGATACGGGGTCCTACTATACTCAGAGTGAGCATCTTTTCTGTTTTTAAAACCAGCAACCATCATGGCCCTTTCTTATGGTAGCAAAACTTGTATGCTAATTACACATTGTCTGATGTGGTACTTTCCTTTGTGCATGCCTTTATGGAGGGAGCAAGGGGGGAGACCAAGAACTGCTTGTTTCCCCTCCCCTCCCCATTCTTTTTTCTGTTCTATGTCCTCTTAAGCTGTAAGTTTGTGAACAGTCTTGCTTGATTGTATGTAAGCTCTTCTGGGAGCCTTTTTAAATGAAGAGCAACATACAAATGATTCAACTAAAGACACAAATATTGCCAATCAGTTTGGTTGTAGGAAGATAAAGAAACTCTATGAACGATGAATACCCTTCTTCTTACCATGTGGAAGGGAACAGCTGCCTCTAAAGAAGTGCACAGGATTCAGAGACAGTATAATCTGGAAGCTACTTAAAGGGATGCTTTTGCTGTCCCCAGAGACACTGCTCACTGTAATCTAATTATATATTTGTTTTGACTTTTCATTTATCATTACATATATCTCCATTCAAACACAACAATAGAAGCAAACAAAGCAGCGGCCACAAAGACAGTTACAGAAAGCAGCTGGTCTGCAGGTTTATCCTCTCCTATGCCTCACATCTGGAAATGCAGCTGCTTCAGTTTTAGGCAATCTACAGCAAAGGCATGGAAAACTATGAAGACAAAAGTTCCTGGCCACCAGATGCAGGAAATGGTATGGCTGGGGGTGTGATACAAAAGAATAGGACAGATTTTGTTCTTTCACGTAAAAGAATGCATTACAGAAAATGGGGAAAGCCCACAGGTCGGAGTTCAGGGTGCCTGCATGTCTGAACGATTGAGGCTCTGATTCCTTACAGGAAAAACAGTGATGGACCCAAATGGGATCGACTAAACTAAGCACACCCTACCATATCAGTCTGCCTGTGCATTTGGGTCATCAAAGGATGTACTCTTCCTTCATTCATCCATATAGGAATTGCATTTACTATCTGCAAAAGAGAGGGCCTTCTCTCTGGTGGTGCCCTGATTTTGTTATTCCCCCCGCCCCCAACAGCAGTTACTGGGGGGCAGTGTTGTCTTTTTCAATGCAACATTAAAACCTTGCCACACTTCAGCCACACTTCATTTTTTAAAAAAAAAATCAGACCTTTTTTAGTTTTTATGCCTGTCAAGTTTACTCTGTTTACATTTAGGTTTTATATTAGTTCTGATGGTAGAAAATCTGGTTTGTGTATATACCTTTTTGGTGAAATTTCATAAAAAAGACAGAATTAACATTAACAGGTAGCTGTCAGGAGGGTTTTTGACGTCTGAAATAGTAAATATATTTAGTTGCAGGTAAGGATGGGAAAACCAAAGAAATTAGAGATAGTGCCTTCCCTCATTCTTTGCTCTTTAATTAGTGTATGTATGCACGCATGTTTTTATTTTTATTACTGACCAGTACAAATTAGTTAATTATTTAGTGTCATTTTATAAATGTGCCTACTCTCTGCATAGAGCTCAGGGTGGTGTGTGCAGTTCTCCCCTGATCTTTTAACCCTCCTAACAGGTTTCTCTGTCTGATGGGGAGAGGGAGGGAAGGAGGGAAAGAGAGAGAGAGATGCTGAGCTCCAAAAGCTTCTCCAAAACTGATTTTGGACCTTGGTCTGAAAGAAGTCCAGCATCCCTGCATTAGACTGAAGTTCCAGATACAGCACATGCAAGCCCCAGAGTCCCCTACATTTGTGGGCTCAGCTGCCAGGCCAGCTTCTTTCCTATCTTAGTCATCAGCATCACTGAGCCCTTTCCAGCGGAGAAGAGCTTATGCAGGGGCAACTGGACCCTACGTCAATTTGTTGATTGCAGCTCTGTGACTTTGGCCACATTTTTAGAGGTTATATTTAGCTCATAACATCTTCTGGCAAAACTCAATATACTCAATAATTATATGCACACCAGAGGGCTTTCATCAAGACTTACCCAGATGCCCTTCATGAATAAGATCCACAAGCATGAAAGCAATGCTTTTAATTTACCCAGTTCCTGAAGTGTTTAATTTCCTCTCTGGGTGACATTGAGGTTTCTCCGCTGGATAAGGAAATGACCAGTTACATAATTACAGATGCTACCCCTGGAAAATTGAGGCTGCACTTATCAAGTGTATTGTGGTCACCAACTGCAACTATGCCAAAACAGAACCTTTCTTACTCAGCACATGTGTCCCCTGTGTTCCCCCATAGTTTAGGACCATTTCACATATTACCACATAGCTAAACATCTTGGAGGAATGACTGCACTATACCTGAGCAGATGCTCATGAGGCACAATTCTACCTGCACGCCAAAAGCAACATGCAATGCAACCAACATGTGTTTGGCCACACTTGCCTAGGGGACCAAATAACATTTACAGGCACGGCCCCTACGATGCAATTCTGCCTGTGAATAGCTAGGAGGGGCACTGCTCACTTAGCACCCAAGCCCTCCATGTATATTCAAGAAATGTCCACATGACAACTACTATCTGTGATATGTTGACTCCTCCCATGAAGTGCATCTCATGCCAACACTGGACATAAATACTGTAAGCAGGATGGTTTTAAGGTCAAATATTAAGTTTTTTTGCATCTTTCTAATTCTTTAACGGGACTGAACTGGGATTAAGGTTTCGACTTCAGCAGCACAATTATAAAAGACCTAATAACCTCCCTTATAGCATCAGGAGTTAGATCACCAAAGACTCTTCCGTATGCCACCATGCACCAAAAGTGCCCTTCTGCTTTCTGCATAGGACGAAGTGAACCGGAACTATGCAAAAGAGTAAATCAGCACAGATAGTGAACGTGGATCCTGCAGGGCCTCACAGCTGCAAAGAGGCTTATACGGTAAGCTTGGAGGCAGCAGCACCCACCTTCCATCAGTCAGTGTGAATCACTTACTGCTCTCTGCACATTGGAATCTGCATGCTGTGGTTGTCAATCCCATGTGAATTCTTTCTGGATATATGGACTGCTTATGTGTGTGAGTACTGAATTTTTGCTAATGCTGTTGCAAGCTGGCACTGTTTCTTTTTGGGATGTCATTTCTCTGTTATATTTGCAATTAAAAAGGAAAAAGATGAGACATGGCAACATTCTAAACCCAGTGGAGGAACATTTTCCTCTCCCCGAACGCTCTGTCACTGAGTTTAAGATGGACATTCAGGAGCAAAAACATTTCAGAGAGAATTTCAAATGAGCCACTGCCGAGTTATATCAAGACGTTCAGTTCTAGCTCTTAATTTGGGATAAAAATCACACTGTATGTGCTAATCAGTGGCAGGGAACTTCTGGAAGTCCAGGGATCATTTCTGTCCTCCTAGACTCCTCAGTGAGCTACACCTCCCCGCATGGTTTCCAAACATAGGGGAAAATATAAGTTAAGTAAAAACAAAACCAGAATGGAACCCATAGCTGCCATGGAGTCCGCCATGGGTCACAATTACCTCGCAAACATGTTAACGGTGAGGGATGATGGACCACCTGGAGAGCACAGGTTTCCCTTTCCTGTCCTAGAGGCAGCAAGATCCCATATTCAAATACTGGTAAAATGTCCCTGGCCTGTCATCTATTTTGCCATTCGGTTAAAAGAAGAGGAGAGGATAGAGGACAGGAACAAGCCAAAGTCATCCCCCCAATTTCTGCCCAGGTGCGATGCCCAGGAGGGGCGGGAGGGAAAATATCACTTGACTAATACCAGTATGTGTGGATGTGAACTTGGGATGGGAATGGGACAGAAGGCTGCAGTATTCCGTCCTGACCATCACACATGGATGCTAAAGCCAGAAGAAATCCCGCACGCCTGCTCCATATTTATAACTGCACATATCTTGGATGACCTTTGGAATTCCCTTCCAAGAGAGGTGCAACTGGCACCCACTTTATCTTGCTTTCAGACTTTTTAATTTAGTATCTGTTTTTAGGTTGGACTTGGTTTGCTGCTGGCTTATGGTTTTATTGGTTGTTGTTATTGGGTTATTGTGTTTATTTCCTCCTGTTCTATGCATTTGTTGTATTTATATTGTATTTGTTTATTGTTTTGATTCGTTATTGTTTTTATTTTATTTGTATTATGCATTGCACTGTGAGCTGCCCAGAGAGCCTTCGGCTAGGCCGTGCCATACAAATGCAATGAATGAATGAATGAATATGAAAGGCGCTGCTGGTTCAATTCTTCACCTTGCACTGTATTTAAAAGCCTTCTAACATTCATCTGCTTCATGAAACCACTTTCCACAAAGGAAAACCAAAAGAAAAGGGAAAAGAAATTCATGTAAAGTAAGGTTTTTACAAAGGAAAAGCGAAGAGCTCTTGGACATGCTGAACTAAGCCTGATGCAGTTTACAATAACTCACAACATGCCTTTTTCCCATCCCATACTTAATTTTCAATATACAATGTCCAGGCCCTATGTGCTGACCCCAGGATCTGAATCAGTTGCTGGGGAACATGGGTAGGGGGTGCTGTTGCACTCATATCCTGCCGTGTGAGTTTCTGATGACCAGCTGGTTGGGCACTGGGAACGGAATGCTGGGCCAGGAGAACCACTGATCTCCACTGATCTCGTCCAGCATGCCTCTTCTTATGTACATGCCACAAACCCACCTAAGGGAGGAAGAATGGTAAAAGCACGTTCACCACCACCACCACCACCCAAATTTTTTTTTCCAAGCATGCATTTTGATTTATTATACTCACAAATTTTAGGAAAACTTCTCCCAGTTCATGATGAGATTGAGGTTCTGGTTGTAAACAATATTCCAGGGCACTCAGGAAGTCCTTGTGAACATCAAGTATATCTTCCATGTTGGAAAATAAAATCTGTAACATAAAAAACTCAGTAACAATTTCTAATTAAAATACGTAGGTCCTTAAAATACTCTGATCCATAAATGAATCTGAAATAATCCTTACTGAGTTTCATTCTGTAATGCTGCATTACATAATAATACACACAAGCTAAACTGATGCATCACACCAGATCAATTAAGGAAGCCATTTAACTATGGTATCTGAATTCACTGACTAGCAGAAAACCAGAATCTGAAAGCATGTTTTGAAAACCATGATTAAAGCTCACCGTGATTCACTGATTTCTGTACTGATAAATCATGGTTTTACATGATCTTAAATCTCTGTTTACAATCAAAGCACGATTTGGATTCTAAACTAGTTTAGCAGAAACCAAAGGCTTTTGCTGGGTTTTGACCTAGGAAATCCTATTTTATTTGAGAAGTTTTGGATGAAAAAGCAATTGGCAAGTGTTGATGCTTGTGATATTTAAATACATAAAGTAGCATATGCAAATTCTATTCAAATGTATGTCTATGGACAAAGACATGAAGTCATTTATACGCCCAGTCCTTGGTGCAAAAAACGTGGTGCCTGAACTGTACGCATCAAACGTTTATTACAGATTGGAGGCGAAACTCAATCATTGCACTGCTGATCTCCAAATTTAGAAAAAACGCCTCTTAGCACCTTTAGAATTGAAGATGTTACGAACAGAACAGGTGAAGAAGAGAAAACAAACCCTTTGGGAAGAACCACCCACAAGCAACACAGGTGACTGGAGACAGAAGGAGGGAAGACAAATTCCTCACTTGACTGTTTAATGCTGCTTGCCGTGGGGAAAAAAAAATAGCAATGCAGAGCTTACAATCACTGCTCAACTAGTATTGTTCCCCATTTGCTTGTAGACACACAATTCCAAGTGTCTGCAACCAAAGCAGTAAGGAACCGCCTGTTCCCATATGAACCTGCCTGAAAACATGGAACATCATTGTAAGCTCTTTTCCACATGGCATTGCAGGTCAAGGTCTGTTATTTCAGCTGCTGCCATGATTTATTGTGACTGGTTTAAAGTTTTTGGTTCCTCTTAAGCTGCTCTGAGTGCCATTTTTTAGCAGAAAAGCAGCATGCAAATCATTTAAGTAAAAATAGAATAAATTAGCAGAAAAGTTGGTGGCCATAAAGGAGAAGGCTTGCTGTGCAGTGGTCCCATGTTTGTGGAAGGCACTGCCAATTAGGACATGTCAAACTCCATCATTACAGATTTTTAGAAAAGGTTTTACTTTTCTGTGGCTACTTGATATGCCAGGTTTTCTTGAGCAGGTACTGGCCCTAGCTATATGCATTTATTGGCTTATAGTGCTGGATTATTTTCTTATAATCAACACTGCTTCTTATAACTTTCTGAAATTTAATATATTTTATTCTAAAAGCTGCTTCAAGAACACTTTAATCCTTGGCTAGCCTATAATATTTCAAATAAATAAATTTAGCAATCAGGGCACATTCCATATTCTTTCATGGCCACAGTTCAACTATCTTGCAAAAACAAACTGTGGGTTTGAGTGTGCAAAAGTAACAGAAACAAACCAAGGGTTAGAACCCCTTGTCTGTTTTCATTATCTACATTTTTTCATCACTCAGCTATGTACATTCATAAAGGAACCCTATGGTACAGCAACCTCAGGAATAAACTATGGCTTGCTGATTCAGACATCCCAATTGACCAGTTAGCATAAATTATTGTTCATGAATCCATTTCAACCCATGGTCTGATTCTGGTTTGCCAGCCAATCACATACCACTGCTCATCCATTCAGGCATTACACTAAGTCAGAGTTGGGGGCTTGATAGTCTTCCAGATGTTCTGGCTACAACTCCTATCATCCTTTGCCATTGGCTATACAAGCTAGGGCTGAAAGGAAGTGGAAACCCAAAATACTGGAGCACTACTGCAGAAAAATAACCATGATGGGGTGGTCACTGACCTCAAGCCGGACATCCTGGAATGTGAAGTCAAATGGGCCTTAGGAAGTCTGAGCAGCAACAAAGTTAGTGGAGGTGACAGTATTCCAGCTGAGCTATTCAAAATCTTAAAAGACGATGCAGTAAAAGTGCTACACACAATATGCCAGCAAATTTGGAAAACTCAACAGTGGCCACAGGATGGGAAAAGGTCAATTTACATTCTGATCCCAAAGAAGGGCAATGCCAAAGAATGCTAAAACTACCGCACCATTGCACTCATTTCACACGCTAGCAAACTTATGCTCAAAATCCTACAAGCTAGGCTCCAGCAGTATGTGGACCACAAACTACCAGAAGTACAGGCAGGATTTCGAAGAGGGAGAGGAACTAGAGTTCAAATCGCCAACATATGCTGGATCATGGAGAAAGCTAGGGAGTTCCAGAAACACATCTACTTCTGCTTCATTGACTATGCTAAAGCCTTGGATTGTGTGGATCACAACAAACTGTGGCAAGTTCTTAAAGAGATGGGAATACCAGACCATCTTATTTGTCTCTTGAGAAACCTATAGGCAGGTCAAGAAGCAACAGTGAGAACTGGACACGGAACCACTGATTGGTTCAAAATTGAGAAAGGAGTTCGGCAAGGCTGTATACTGTCGCCCTGCCTATTTAACTTATATGCAGAGCACATCATGAGAAAGGACGGGCTGGATGAATCACCAGTTGGAATTAAGATTGCTGGGAGAAATATCAACAGCCTCAGATATGCAGATGATACCACTCTCATGGCAGAAAGTGAAGAGGAACTAAAGAGCCTCTTGATGCGGGTGAAGGAGGAGAGTGCAAAAGTTGGCTTGAAACTCAACACTAAGAAAACTAAGATCATGGCATCCAGTCCTCTCACATCCTGGCAAATAGATGGGGAAGAAATGGAGGTAGTGACAGATTTTATTTTCCTGGGCTCCAAGATCACCGCAGACGGGGACTGCAGCCAAGAAATTAAAAGACGCTTGCTCCTGGGCAGGGAAGCTATGGTAAATCTAGACAGCATACTAAAAAGCAGAGACATCACCCTGCCAACAAAAGTGCATATAGTCAAGGCTATCGTTTTCTAGTTGCAATGTATGGCTGTGAAAGCTGGATCATAAGGAAGGCTGAGCACAAAAGGATTGAGGCCTTTGAATTATGGTGCTGGAGGGACTCCTGCGAGTCCCTTGGACCGCAAGACAATCAAACTGGTCAGTGCTAGAGGAGATCAACCCAGACTGCTCTTTAGAAGGCCAGATACTGAAGATGAAACTCAAATACTTTGGCCACCTAATGAAAAGGAAGGACTCCCTGGAGAAGAGCCTTATGCTGGGAACAATAGCTGGAAAAAGAAGAAGGGGACGGCAGAGGATGAGGTGGCTGGATGGAGTCACTGAAGCAGTTGGTGTGAGCTTAAGTGGACTCCGGGGGATGGTGGAGGACAGGAAGGCCTGGAGGAATGTTGTCCATGGGGTCGTGATGGGTCAGACACAACTTCGCGACTAACAACAATACTGCAGAAAAATACAGCTGAACAGCTTCCTTGGCCATGGTCTGGCACGATAGCTTATTTGAGTGACTGTCCACTCTAATGTAATAGCTCAGCAGGAGTTGTGGCATGGAACAGAGGAGGTCAGCTGTGTTAATGGCTTCAGATGGGTTTTAATCATCTGTCTGGCATGTACTGTCCTCTGCCTTGTCATCTGTGACTTGTTTTCTGCTGAAGGTGCTCTTCAGTCCAGCCAGCTGTGAAACCCAGGGATGGTTGTGTGTTCACCAGGGTGGTTTTAATAGGATGTAGAAGCTTGTTCTTATTGGCTTGGGAACACTGAATTCGTCCTCATTTAAGTCATTAATATCACTCCTGTTTTAGAGAAGATGGCAGAGATTTACAACAGCTTCTTCCAACTTGCCTCCCTGCCATATATTCATATATGACCTCCCATCAACTCAATAAGCCTTGGTAAAAGTGGCTGAGAGTGCTGGGTGTTGTAATTCAACACTTCTGGAGAGTACCCACTGGAGAAGACTAAGGAAATTTTGTGTGCTACAACTGTCAAAGAGTGAAGTTTGCAGAAGTGAGAGCAAAGCTCTAATGGTGAGTGTGACAGATTATCGGACTCAGTGCGGGTGCTTTTCTCCCATCTACATTTTTGCCTGCCTGCTACTGTTTTGAATGAAAGAGAGACTGGGCAAATATGGTTATTTTCCCTTTGCAGGACACCTGGGTCAAGAGAAGATGCACTTGCTAACCCTTTGCAACTTAGGACTCAGAAACACGTCTTCTTTCTGTCCAGATGTGCATTGGATTGGCCCCTTACTCAACAAGGATGGGAGTGGGGACACAGCCTTGTGAAGAAAATGAGCAAACCTTTTAACTGTTATGCTCTGCTTCGGCAGCTAGCAGCACAATCCTCTGCATAGGTGGCTAAGACATGCTGAGAGTTGCAGGCTTCTTTCTATCTAAATCTGCCTAGGATCATGAATGGGTTATCACCAAGAAAAATGTTGGTCTTACACCTGAGAAGAGTTACACCGTAAAAGAGGTATTCTGGTTAAATGGCAGTTACTATTACTCCTGAGAGGGAAATGGAGCCAGGTCTTCCCTTTATAGTACCATCTGACAGGAGAACAACTAAACATTCTAAAGATGAACATTGGTCCTGAGGATGAACAGAGGTGGGATGAAGGAATGTTGGCTACACCAAAGCTGACTGGCTGCAGGGTTCTGCCTACAGGATGTATAAAGAGCTGTTGGGAAGCATCAGGAGATGCATGATAGGACAGTTTGCCTGGGGAGTTTTGCCTGAGGAAGAGTTGTCAGGAAAGGTTTTTGGGAAAGACTGAGGAAGACATCAACCAAGAAGAAGAGTAGCCACAAGACTGGGAAGCCAAAAGGAGAGGCTTGACAGTACAAGAGGCAGAAGATCTGCAAGAGAAAAGATGCCTAAAGCAGACTTTAGAGGAAAGAGCTGACGCTTGAGTGTCAGCGGCTGGACTAGAGTGACAACTTCAAGAGAAGCGTGATGAATAGTCTTGAAGGTTCTAGAAGGATGTGAGACCTGGCCAGAAAGAAGCCTGCCTTCAAGTTCTTATTGCTAGGCTTGTGACTCAACCATGATGAAGCTTCATGGGGGAGCTGGTTTAAATTTGGACAGGAGCTTGCAACATATGATTGATGATTAAAAAATAACTATAGAGAGCCCGTTTGAAAACAATAATCTTCTAAGCTTTCTTGTTTTGTTTCTCTTAAATAGAACACTATTGAAAACTATATTTTTCAATAAATGTTTTAAATGTTTTCCTGGTTTTGTTCCCTTAGGGGAAAATGATTTTAAATAAAGGCAAGTACTTGAATGGTGACAAAGGACGCAAAGGGAAGGGTTGGTGTGAGGTGTTCCTCCACATTTGGTGTTTCCAGTTGGGTTGCCACAGAGGGTACCATGCTCATGGCATGTTCTTCACCGGCCTTGACAAACCTTGTCAGGAATCTATAAGGTCAGTCCAAAGCTTGCTTCAATGATCTCATGACAACCCAGACCTTTATTTCCAGAAGGACTCCTTCAATCCTCTTTGGCAAGGGATGAACTAGAAATATCACAAAGGAGCTCCAGGCATAAACACATTTAATTATCTGAGAGGAGAAAATGAATTTGGATGCAGTTTTTGTGTGACAGATATATTTAGAGCTTGTGAAATGATAAATTGGAATAAATACAATAATATTATTAATTAGCAGATTCTTATTTGTTGCATCTGCAGGCCAGGAAAATTCATGACTGATTTTCTGCTTGTTCCATAGCTCCTAAATGTAGCTGAATAGGCCTTAAGGGGGAATGTCTGACAACCCTAACAGGATTGGACTCTAGAAGAAGAGTCACAAATAACCTGCAGGATTCCTCTCATCAGCAGATAAAAGGATAAATGACCAACATTGGTTGAAAGCCAGTGGAAACATGAGCAAACAGGCCTTGCTATCAGAAAAATTAATGTGCCACCACTGATTTGGGCACAGAATCAGCTCATCTTCTTCCACTCTGTTTTCTCCCGTTTCATTTTTCTGTTCTCCTCCACCTACTGCAGTAAATAGGAATCCAGATGTGCTTCAGAGCAGGTGTTGCTGGGAATAAATGACAAGATGTTGGGCTGGGGCAGAACATGCTTGGATATATGAGTTTCATAGACCTTTGATGCTAACCTTCAATAGGTGCACATTATGCACCCTGGAATTCTCAGGATTACCTTTTAATCTACACTAGAGAAGAATTCAACTTCTTCCCTCACCCTGATTCCATCTGGCTTGTCCTACATCCCCACCTGCTCACAATCCTCCAAACCACCCCCTTCACACCTACACCCTTCCTGCAGTTTTCAGGTTTACTGTGTAGCTGCACACGAGACAATCAGGACGAGAGCAACCATCCTCCCTCCTTTCATCTCTCCTGCTTGTTGCATCCAGAGCCACGACTGTGGTGAGGCTGACAGAACAGTGCATAGCAGGCTGGGAGGTTCACGGGACAGGGTACGGATCAGATCAGTCATGGCTGCACTCTTGATTGGCATCACAATGGTATCCCAATAGACTCCTACCCTCAATTTGGATTTGATGGAATTAAACCAAACAATCTCCCGATTTTGCTAGAAGCCTTAAATGCTTTGTTTCCTGATTGCTGCATATTTAAAAGCATGGGAAAATGCACAGTTTGTAACATGACAATCAAAGATGCATCCAGCTAGCCTTTCCAGAAGAGTCGGGGCTAGAACTGTCTTGCCTGCTGTATATAAAATTACTATACATTCATTCATTCATTTGCTAGACAGGGCCTATGGCTTTCAGCAACTGAATCACAGGCAAAACTGAAGTGAAGAATTGTCCATTGTTATATTGCTATACCAGAAAAAGATTCACCTGCTGATTTTTGTTTATAATGCATCTCCTATTTCAAAAAGTGTGGCATTTCTAGCTTTGTGGCCACAAATAACCTGTGGATAAAATTAATGTAAATCTGATTATTGGGACTGATGTTCTTCCAGTAATTCAGTAATTAGAATTCTGGATGAATTACCTTGACATTTTCCTCCGTTATGTATTTCTCTGCTTTGTCCACAGCGTTTTGTCTAATTCGGTGCAGAAATGCCTACAAGGGAAACACAAGAATAGGACTATTATCAACCAATAACTGCTTTCATTTTACCATGCCTACCTTAAGGGTATTCATTTACATCCAGCCATCAAGATACAACTCTGGGGCTTTCTGGTGCAAAGAGCAAATTACTTTGCACACTCAAAACATGCAACACCTCATTACTGTGACACCTCACAGTTTGAGTATTTCTTTAAAGGTTCTTTTTTTTTCTTTTTTGGTCTGACAAGCATCTTCCTTCAAGAAGGGACTGTGCCACTTATTTTGCTTAGATATCAGCACACCAAAGGGAGTCACTGTTTATTCCCTCACAGACTTCCCCCCTTCCTTTAAAAACGCAGCTGTTTTTACTGGATTCGGGAAGGGAGAAGCAAAGTGATGGGTATCAAGGGAGAGAGGGCTAAAAGGGGCAACAGAGCATAGCTGGAAAAAGCACAGTCTTCTCTGGAACAGAGACAAAGAACCCGCAGAACCCCAGTTTGCCCAGAAACTGGAAAGGTGACATGTTGACCCATAAACAGCCACTGGATTGTACTGTCTCTCACCACTTCAACACTCGCATTCAATGATGTCTTTGTTGGACAGAATTCAGCCACATATGAGTACAAAATCTGAAGGATTAGACTAAGGTCCAGTCCAACACCCAGTTTCCAACTGTAGCCAGCTACTTATGTGAAGCTCCCAAGTAAAAGCTGAATATGATGTCTCTGTCAAATAGTTTTACCCAGACCTAACATGGAAGAAAAACACCTCTCCTTTACTTGTTCACAGTTCCTCCAAAGCCTGGTTCACGTTCTTTGTATGGGAATCAACTGTGGGAAAGTATTAATGGCAAAAGCTCTTCAGCTCTTCCTTTTTTATGCCTGGACCATTTTAATCGATCCCAACAGGCTTGTCTAATTTGGGTTCACCTGCCATCTTGTCTCCTTTGTCTACAGAGAAAGGAAGGGAGTTTTCCCAGTAGAAAAGGTGGAAGTTCTCCCTCTGTCCACCCTTATCTTCCTCCTTTAGCATCTTTGGATTGTGCAGGGAGGGCTTTTTTTTAAAATCTCATGGAACAATGGCATCAAATTTTAATCTATCCTCCACATGCTTACAAGGAGCATTTGGGGTCATGAAGAAACTGATTTCCTTACTCTCCCTGCCCTCAATTTGACCCCTGTCCCCCAACAAATATTGAAACCAATATATTTTGACACCAATTGACAACCCTAAAAATTGCCCTACATATTCTGGAAGTTCACTCTTCTCAGCCAATTTGGGTGGTATTGAAGGGTGGTAATTTTCTTTTATTTTTATGTAAAAAGAAACTAATGTACTTTTGCATTCCTAATGAGTGGCCCAAATATGTAGGAATCATGCCTAAGTTCAGTATTAGAGGGAATAGTATAACTGTCTCTGAATAGGACAGTTCAATTTAGCTCTTGAAGCCAATGCCTGCTGAAAGACCCATCAGCTACAAATTTGCCTCTCTCTTTTTAAGCCATTTCCATGAGTGGCCACTCTCTCTAATTGTGGGAGTCAACACACTATGTTAACTGTGAAATATACAGAGGAGTACATCTTTTTGCTTTTCTGGCCTGGAAACCTAGTGCATTGTTTTTCTCTTCACCCGGCCTCCACTGCCCCCTCCATTATTTCCCCTATGTCCAATTTTAAACTATATATTCCTTGGAGGAGAAGACCTGTTCTCATTCAGTGCTAAGCACAAGGCATAGGTTGACAATATATTTCAGCGAGAAGTAGTTTAGGTAATTTCCTCTAAGTAACATGATAGTGTTTGTTGCTAGAATATTGTCTCTCTTGTATTTAAGGTTGTATTTCTGTATTGGACTCCTGATAGTTAATCATGCACAAAGGTAATATCCAAAGCACTTAACTAATACTGACTTTCAAGGAACAAATAATCTCCAATCTGAAGAGTAGCGCCTAGTTATCATAGTGATAGGTGTGAAAGGATGATTTGAAACCAGGGAGTAAAGAGATTTAAAAGGGTAACAAAGAAAATTACTTAGCCCGAAGGGAGGGGCCAAAATCAGCTAGCACAAGGTCTGGGGAAACAGGCAGAACAGGCAGGAGGGCCAAATGCTTCCGGATTGTTTATTGACAAGCCGGGCAGAACAAAATGAGACTACTGTAGCCCACCGGGGGCAGGGCTGGACTGGAAAGAAGGTGTTGGGGCAGCGCGGAGTAGGCGGGCGGAAAGAGAGTAACTCTCAGTACCCTATTAGCCAATTTGAGGAAAGGAGGAGGGAACAAGCAGCCAGCCGGGAGCAGGGTTCAAAAGGAGTGTGTGAACATGTGTTCAGGTGAACAGAACAATGGGAAGGAAACCATTCCTTTCTGTTCCTTTCATTGCAATAAAATTTTAAAAAGAACTCTCTGCAAGCCTGGAATATTTTTCTCTTCCAACGGAAAGGAAAGAGTGATTATAACAATAGCTACCAGAAAAGAGGGAGAATTAACTCCTTCTCTCTATAACAAAGGGAGATGAGAGGTAGCAGGTGAGGCCGATTTCAGATAAACTGTTCCAGAAGAAAATCCACTATGTTCAATTACAATATTCAAGGCATAAAAGGAAAGAGGTGAAGGAATTAAGAGGAGGGTCAGATTCTTCTGACTGTCATCATGTGCAATTTTCTGTAATTGACCCCTGCATGATGAACTTGCTCTTGGTTCCAGGGGAAAGGTGAACAAGCAAAGGAGAACCCACATGGGAAATGCTTCAAATGCCACTGCTGTTCATCCAAAACAACAGTTGCAAAAGCCATTTCAGTTGCAGGAACAAAATCCAAGCACAAGCCTCTGGATCTGGCTATGGTGTATCCTCATGTATCACAAATGGTTCCTTATGTGCATAGTGAATGCCTTTTTTCTCTCGTGCATCTTAACCTCCCTTCTGCACTCCTGATATATCACTACCTTTATATTATGCCTGATGAACAGACTAGCTCAAGAGCTTTCTTACAGCCTCAGTATAAAGCCACTGTAACAAGTAGCGACTGACAGGCTTATTCTCCACAAATTTGCTGTAACCAAGTCAATGCTGGTGGCCCTTGCTATGCACCATTTATTTATATCAGCTTTAGAGAGTCTCAGGGGTGGAGGCCAAATTCAGCTCTCTTGGGGTCCAAATCCATCCCTCTGTGATCACCAAAAGGACCATGCCCCTATTCCACAACCACCAATCTTGGCAATTTCCTAGCTTCTGTGCATTTTCACCATTCTAACACCTCTCCTAACACTCTGTTATTGGTAGCAAGAGTGTTAAGCTAAAACATGCCAGCATTGATTGTATTCTTGGTCCTTTCCATTTGCCTTTGGTACCACCCACCACTAGAATGTAGCCCCAAAGAGCTTCTCCCAAATGGAATGTGGACCACTAGCTGATAGAGTAAAACCACTGATTTACTCTTTATGAAGATGTATTTCCTTTCCTGTGTGCCCAGAATTTTCCAGGGCTCAACTCATTCTGTCAAGAGATCGGGAGCAAAATTAGGCTTGTGGGCCATTCAAGTCAGCAGTTGCTTCAGCATAAGCACTTTCATATTCTTGATAAGGGACTGCAGGTGGTGCAGTGGTTTAAACTGCTGTGCTGCTGGGCTGGTAGATCAAAAGGTTGCCGGTTCGAATCTGCACAATCAGGTGAGTTTCCATTGCTCCATCCCACCTCCTGCCAACCTTGCAGTTCGAAAGCATGCAAATACAAGTAGAGAAAAAGGTACCACTTCGGTGGGCAGGCAACAGCGTTCCGTGCACCTCGGTGTTTAGTCATGCCAGCCACATGACCACGGAGACGGTCGGTAGACAAACACTGGCTCCCTCGGCCAGGAAAAGGAGATGAGCACCGCCCCCTAGAGTCAGGCATGACTGGATGTAACCTCAAGGGGAAACTTGATATCCCATCCATTTCCAGGTACAGAGGGCCTTTCTCTCTGCTTCCTTGGCTTGGATGATGTACGCTCCAGGAGACTGCTTCCAGACCACAAGGAACACTCTCCCACCCACCCCTTGCCACACATCAGCAACATGGGAAGTGAAACTGCAGCCTGGAAACAAGGCTGCAACCTTCCTAGCTAAGTTTCAGACCACCCTTTAAAAAAGCAGGCTGTTTACACCTGGAAACAGGAATCATTAGCATAACAAAGGCTGTGATGAGTAAGACAACAATGCTCATCCTTGGAGCAACATGGGAGATCACTGTTATGATTGCACAATCTGAAATGTGTGTGTGTGGGTAAGTAGGTAGCAAAAATGTCAAACATGGTCCATTTAAATGAATTTAAGTACCAACACAAATCAGCCACAGTGGCAGAAGAGGGTGCTCTGGGAAAAGGGACATGTAACTGATTAGTTGTAAGTTGTAAATCTGTTCACTGTGCTGTAACAGGCCAGCTGGGATGACCTGGGCAATGCTGACAGCACCTTTCAGAAAGGCAAGGCCAATGGATACCCTTACAATTGCTCAATTCCTACCCAGAAAATTAGTGTTGGTCCCACAGTTTACTGGAGAAGGGTGGGGTGTTATTGGTAGCATATTACGTTTGTACTTAAGAGCCTGTATTTGCATGCACGTGTTTTCTGAGCACTGCTCAAGGAGGTGGTGTGGACCTTGACCACAAGGAACTCTTGGACAAGCAACTATTTCAGTTTTCTTCTTTTCATCTGAAAATCGGAAAAACACTGAACTCTGTTATAATGCTGACATTATTGTGCATGCATTTACCTTTTCAAAGTCTATGCCAATGGGCTGTTTCTAGCTGGATAGTTATATAAAGACCAGAACATAATTTAAGGTAACTTCTACAGATGTCAGTAGCAGGGAGGTGAGAATTCTCAATGCCACTGGATGCCATTCAGGCTCCTGTCCCAGAACACCTGCTTCAATGAATCTATCATAAATAGATACCCCTAATTATTCCAGTGAGTCCTTAAATTCCAGAGAGATGCTGCTTATTCTTTTTTGCATTCCAGTCCCTCAATCAAGATCCATT